AGCTCGACGGCAAAATTGTAGGAAAAATTGCTGAGGGAAGGTGGTTTAAAAATAGTCAGAAAGAGGAAGAAAATTTGGGAGAGAGGATAATATTCAGCTGAAATTTCCCCATCATGATGGTGTACTCTCATTGTTCTGTCCAGTTACAGTATTGAATTGCAGTATTGTTGGAGCAAGAAGTGAAATCAGAGTCCACTTCGATCAATATGGCCCGAATAGCGTACAAAACTTGCATGAACAAAACACAACTGGAGGAGTTGAAAACGAGGTGAGTCATTCTGTAGGACTTCCCAAGTCATTCGCGATTCCTCCAAAAAAAGCAGGTTCCATGATTTCAGATGGCGTGAAGGGAATGCTAATGATAGCGCGTGACCGAGATGAAAGTTTCATGTGCTTTCTCTCATCCCCCCTCCCTCCATGTCATTGCGATTCCGGCTAGCATATTTGAGTGAGCCACATGATTACTGATGTACCTCATGAGTACTGCTTACAGAGTCCTTCGCGCTCTTGCAAATAGCAGACGTGCGAATCTGTCGTGAACTCATCTGCCGTTTAAACTCCACTTCTCGAAGCGCCCCAAGCAGGGTGCACTATCGCATCGAATTGTGTGTCACTCGACTTCTTTTCCCAAATCCCTCCCCCTATCTCGCTCATCATTTACTCTTTAATTAAGTGACGATAGCTAATTACAATCAATTACAATCGAATGATCTCCTAGTGGTTCCATTGCCCCTCATTTCCCACACCTGAGCTTAATTAAGGGCCCAAATGACCTGAAGCCTGACGAGTCGGACCACTGCCCATGAGAGTAACTCGGTATAGGTAATGCGACATTTTATTTTCCTGGTCCTCTCCGAAAGGTCACACGATCAACAATAAAACAGCTGCCTGCAAAGGCTTCATAAGTGCTCCGAAAGACATTCCTAAAAAAAGAGGTAGCCATTCAAAAAAGACAGCTGTGCTTGATAACCATCTTATAAGTGAAACTTACTTCGAAGCTTGTCAATTAGCTCGTCTAGCGATCACAAGTAATCCCAATTTCATACAAGAATTCTTCAACATACTTTATATGAATACTTTTCCAATCAGGATGAGTTACAGTGCAAAAAATCGCAAACAAAATTACTGCCGATGACTGAGCATGCGCCAATTGCCGCCTTTACAGATTTTGAGTTCTTGCGGAAGGCAAACACTACGTATTTCTTCTATCAACGGGCGTTCTCGTTCAGCATTTTTATTGGCAGTCCATTATAGACTTTTTCTTAACTAACAATCACTGAACCTACTCTATATTAAGCCCTTATCCAACGGCTCACAGAAGCGAACATTTCTTTGAGTCCTCTACTGTTCGTACCATTCAAGTAATCCTTCTCTTCGGTGTCGGATAGTTGGTAAACTGCTTGAAAAAAAAAAACCTAGTGTATACAGTTATTTTTCTGCGGACGCTCAGGCATGTCGTGGGTCTAGGTTTAGCACGGCGAGCCCGTTCTTCACCGATTGCTGAATGGGGGAAGCAACAGTACATCGAGGAAAACGGGCTGGCGCCAAAACCAGCCCCCTGACACGCCGGAGGGTCTGCAGCAAGAACGAACGGCTACTATGTACGCCAGATCGCATTCAAAGTGCTGCTGCGATTGTAAGTGGAAGTAGAAGACGTGGCTTTTCCAAAAAGTGGATTCACTTGCACCGGAAGCTCCTTGAATTTTTTTCAAACTTTCACGCCTTCAACTAGTCACTAATTGAAAAGAGTTTCGTCAGCGTAACTTATTCTTTTGCAAGCTTCAGTTTGGCTTGCGATTCTATTGTACAAAATTTCATGCAGTCTTGTTAGCTGCGGATGCCGGGCATGTTAGGGGGTTAGGCTGGGATTGGCGCAGCGCCTACCCGTCTTCCACTGACCTTCTAGCTTTCACAGTAGGTGGAGAACGGATTGACACCGCGTCAAATTCAACCCCTCTGACAGCCTTAGTATCCGGCGTGTAGTATACAGGAAAAATAGCACCATTTCAGCTTACTTTTCGAAACGCTGGCAGAGCTTGGTTATTGGCCATTACTGCAACCGAGTTGGAAGCGGGAAAACTTTGATATAACAGGTGAGCTTGTCTAATGTAATTGTCAATTTTGACCCGTTTTCATCATCATTACTTGAGACTTGTTGGGAAATGCGAGGCGGGACTACGGAGCCGAATCCTTCTTCCAGATCTATATCTATGCAGATGCAAAGAACACTTCACGGAATACTCTGTTTGTGCGTAAACCATGACAGAATGGTCATTTCTAAGGTGAATTATAAAAATCATAAAATACAATTCCAGGTCGACCAAGCTTCCTTATCACTGGGCAGAGGAGCGAGAGACTACTATCTCAACACTACCATGTTTGCAAACCATATGATAGCATACAAAAAGTATTTCTTCGAGGTAAGAAACATGACACGTAAGGATGTCTTCTCATTCAGTAGATTGGACCCTCGCGAATGCTATAAGAACAATGTACAGCGTAGTGCTTTTCCAGAGCCCCTCAGAGATCACAATCCCAAATTACTCGTGCGCTGTTCTGCAAAAAATTGATTTCAGATCGTGAAAATACTCCAAGAGGATGCCAACGAAAGTCGAGACAAGTCATCTGCTGAAGCTAGCATCGATGCAGTGATCGCCTTCGAGAAGAAACTGGCTGAAGTAAGTTTACTCAGTGATATAACTAATCAATACTGCCATAGCTAATTGGTTGAATAAAAAGTCTTGATAGCAGTCCAATTTTTCTGCATTATTTTTTCACTGGTATGCAATGAGAATTAATCATCAAAATAATCGCCACGTAGTGTTAGTCACCCGCGTGATCCACTTATCGAGCAGACCTGCATCCTCTCGCTCAGAATTGGAGAAACTGGGATTCGATTAACTTCTCCATGGAAATTGTCCTAGCCACGAAAGTCTTTGGGGAGACTCGATTTCTGATCGGTCTTTTTAGCTACACTGGGTCTGCGTTACCATTGAGAAAACCACTGAAGGTCTCTCGGCTGCTTCTCGCGATAAGCTCTCAATAATTTTCGGACCTAAGTGATCCAAGAGAGCGGTGACCGGGTGCCTCTGCCAAAGCAGCTCGAACGACAAAACTGTTCTTGAATCTTAAAACACTCCGATTCCCAAAGTGAGGATATTCTTGTGATGCACGGTCCGATTTTGCTTGCGATGGTAGGCAGCGAGCGGTTTGAGTTGGAACTGTGGAGGTCTAACTCTCAACTCCAGTGACCAAGTCTTCTAGAAACTCCTACCGAGGCGAGCGGAAAATATAGACCGGCAAATGGATTCAGGTGCTCGGGTCATCCATCGAAGATCGTGGAGTCCACCAAGTCATCGCTTTTCAGTAGAGGGATTTGCATTTGACGACTATCGATTTGGTACATGCGAGTCAATGGTAGCTCCGAATCATCGATAGAACGGGGGAGAGTTCCACCGCAAGGAGCGTACCGACCGAGTTTGTTACCGAAGACTGTGTCTCCTCGAATCGAATCGAGCGAGCCAGAATTTGAAAGTGTTCTAAATTAACACATGATCCATCTTTTGTATCATTCGACAACCGAATATTTCGGACTCAAACGGCCTCATGAAAACTTTTCGATTTACCTAACTTAAGTGTATATGAGTTGATACAGTATTCTACCATTCATATTTTAGAAGCCCTCGTTTGTCAGTTTCAAACGACTCATGGAATGCGTCAGCTTTGTTTTCGGAGCCATTTTTTGAAGTTATGACTAAATGCTACGAAACAATTGTTCAAGAGGATAGGGAGTCCTGAATACGAATTTCTCAACGATTTTCAGATTGTTGTTCCTGAGGATGAGCGAAGAAATAGCACACGGTTATACAACAAAAGAGTTATAGCTGATTTGTACGACTACATGAATGATGTGGGTTTTTGCGCAGCATTGATCAATTTCAAGAGTTAGCATTCCAAATAATATAAATGGTTTAAATTAAGCTTGCAATAGCTCAGAAAACACGTTTATGAGCTAAGCGAGCTCAAACTTTATTTTGAAACTATGCGTTGACACTGACAGTCAACATTGTACATATATCTTCGAGGAACATACCGATACATGGTTTGTGGGGTCCAGGCAAGCCGTAGATGACAATTTGCCACCTAGTGAAGAATCAGAAATTGTAAGGAGTGCTCAGAATAAAACTGCCTTTCAATTTTAAGCAGCATAAAGCGATCTGTTCGCATACGACACAGAGCACATAAGCGGGCACACTCCACAACCAAGGTGCAGCATCGGGATGTGTTGTGCACGGGTGCTCACGAGATGGTAGCCTCGGCGGGGTGCATCTAGGTCAGGCCAGAACGCGGAGTTGTAATGGCACGCACACTCCCACAAAGGGAATTCGCACCGTCGGATGCTCCTGATGCAAACCTGACGGGGGCTATATGATATACAGGGATGGCCAAAAAAAAGTCACTTCGACCGAGTCACATATCAGCAAAGTTTTCGCAGCCCAGAGAGAAGACGTGGATACGAGTACCAGGGCGGAAGATACCCAAGATGTTCCTCGATAAGCAGGAGCTGGCCCTCGCCCATCACCTTCATGTACACCAAAATATGAAGTCATCTCCAGTCGCAGCCTGACTGGAGAAGACCTTTGGAATTCATGTCACCTCCAAACAGCTGCGAAACTTCTAGTGTGGAGTCACCCATGGGTAGCTACCTGGAGACCAGTACTCTCAATCTGGAAGACCTCCAACATCGAGCAGCTCCGACAACGTCGCTACGGTCTAGGACATCATCTTCACGGCAGTCGCCAAGGCGCGGGTTGATGGTATGGACCGGACGCACCTGGAATGGAAAGACCAATATTTTCTTCGTGGACCCCGGGCTGAAGCTGAGCGCTGGCGGTTACATCGACAACTCAAGAAGAATATCTTCCCACATGTCGTCGCCCGTACCTTCTTGGAAACTTTGTACTGCTACAGCATTGGGTGCCACCACGTGGAATCGAAGGGCGTTGGAGAAACTCTCGCCTACCTGGAATGGAAGGGGGCTGAGTACCTAAAGAAGATGGAATATCCAAGTAGGTCACCTGACCTGAATTCCCTCAATTACGCGGAGTTCAATAGGGTGGTCTACGGTGGCGGAATCGACTATCTCGCTGATCTCAGGGACCACATCGCGGTTGCGTGCCAGAATCTCTCGATGGCGCTCCTCCAGAAGGCTGTGGCGGAGTGTCATAATAGTATTTAATATGCTCTTTAATATGGTGGTAGAAATGTCCGATCAGAATTTATAAAGTGTAACTTATAGCGCCTCGAAAGTCAATGAAGCAAAGTGACTTTTTTTGGCCACCCCTGTATGCCCCTTGCAACGGTGAAGTCCAACTCAGATACCTACTAGTACCCGCTGAGATCATAATGAAATAACACAAATTCCGCGGACATCTTCATATAGGACAAGGACTGTATGAAAAAGGCAACTACAACAAGTGAACACGATTCAACTAAACAAGACTGTATTGACGAAACAATGAATGATCCCTCAACAGCTGTAGTTCAAAAGTACTAAACAAGACTTATTGACGAAACAATGAATGATCCCTCAACAGCTGTAGTTCAAAAGGAATAAAAATAGACGTTGACATACCTACGGATTAGAGAAGACGAGCAGTTGGGAGTCGAAGAAGTGGCAGCTCGTCAGGTGTAAGAGAGTTGAAAAGTTTGTGGCATGGCGGCGCTGGTCCACCGCTTGATGCGCTCGAGGCGAGTGCAGGACGACGACTGACTTTGAATGATGACAGTCGTGTCAGTGCCACTGCAGGCGCGGTTTCCCGCGATATATGTTTTCCCAGTGAAACCGACAACCAACAGTGCGATCAGAGCGCGTTTCCTACCGCCGCGGCATCAAATCCCAAGGACGGTCGTGCGCAAGTCACGATGCGATGGGTGGAATGACGAAATCCGTTTGAACAACCCCACCCCAAAATTTCCTCTTCCAGTGCAGCCCTCCTTCTTCCCCGTCTTAATTGACATCTACTAAATTCTCCAAAATTCTTCCAATTCTCCGAAAAAAAATTGCTCGCCGTTTTTAGAGAACTGCCATCGAGGATGTCGGGTGGGAGTGAGAGGGAAGATGTCATCGGTATTGCCACTATTTAAATGCCAACTCAGCTATCAGAAGTAGTATTTTTGTACAGTGCAGTATGTAGTCCGTGGATGGTCGATGCTCGGAAAATTCGTCTCTAATACGACCTCCCAGATAAGAGCTTTATCGACCAAATACGAGCTCCTTGTCATAAACCGAGTACGACCCCCTGAATGGACCATCCCAACAAGTTTGTACCCCACCAGAACCGGTTCACCTTATTTGCAAGTGTGGTGCTTCCATGTCTCAAGTAACTCGTCTTTTTCACTTGTCACTTCTTCGTTGTCTAGACTTTTGTCCATGTCTATCTTAGTCACAAGTGCAGCGCAGTGCAACTCATGAAACAGAGCTTGCCTTCTCGTTTCCTGCGAAATCTTTGGGCTTTCCTTTATTGGTAAACTAACTAATACCGTAGCTTCACAACTGAACCTCACTTTTCACTTTCTTCTATCGTGCCTTGAAATTTCATCAATCTCTGAGGACTATCACAAAACTGTCCTGATAAGATATCCTGCAAAATGTAGATAATTGCTGTTTCTTTCTCTCTATATGCCCCATGTATTCTAGGACTAGTGATAACAGGAATACCTCATACCGGAATACTGCTCAAAGCTGAAATTTAGGTCGACTGGGTTTCATATTTCCAACGAATCGCTCCTACGGAAATGGTCGATATGTTCAACAACAACACTGAAATCATAGTCGCTGAGATAGAGTTCCTCAGAAAGGTTCCTTTTTGTAGTAGTGCAAGCACTGCCAGCACAGAAAGTGCGCGTCAGGAGATCCGAGTTGCGGTTTAACAATAAAGGCGGTGTTGTAAATGGAGTCACATCGGCTGTACCCGTGTCAGCACATAATTAATTTGACGTGGATGTACTCACATGAATTAGGTCAACAAGCTTGGAAATTACAAGCGCAGTAACCCGTTTTGCACGTCTCGTTGAACCTTGAATCTCCTGACGCACGTATAAGTGCTCACAGAGCCTTGGCGCTTTTCGTGAACTTCTGATAACTTTTCAGACATCCCAACTCATTAAAGAAACTGATAGCGAGATACTCGTCAACTACATCATCTGGCGGGTCGTGCAAGCGAGTGTGCGGTTTCTTGACGAGCGCTTTGAGAATATCAAGCAGGTGGTTTCGTACTGGTTTTCTTCATTGTTCGCTATAAAATGACTCGGTACCGGAGAATGTAACCCTTTTTGTAGGATTTTTCCCGAGTGATGACCGGTCAACAACAGAGATCGCCTAGATGGAAGGATTGCGCTCAAGTGCCCAGCTCGGTATGAAATACCTGTGACTTGCTCTTTAGCCTCCTATATTGCTTTCATGATCCAGGTTTTACCGCTAGCAGCTGGCGCGGTCTACGTTCAAGCGCATTTCAATTCTGAGGACAAAAGAGAAGCCTTGGTGAGTACAAAGCATCCAGTGGATCTTCTGAGAAAGTCTGTCCATGAATTTTTGTTCTCAGGAGATGATCGGCAAACTTCGCGAGTCTTTCGCGGATTTGGTAACCCATAACGATTGGATGGATGAATCCACGAAAAACACGGCCATAGAGAAGGTAGACAATCAGCGCTTTTGGCTACATATGACCCTTACGAGACCGAGTAAGGGGTGAAATTTCAGGCTAATTCGATGATTAACAACATTGGTTACCCTGATATCACCAATGATATAACAAAGCTTGACGAACAGTACAAAGAGGTGCGTTGGTTTCGTTAAGCTCACAACCTTGGTATTTTGAGCCTGCAAACTACATTTTAGCTCGTTATTCTTCCTGAAGACACCTACTACTCTTTGATGAAGAAAGCAGTCGTTTGGATGCAGAAGAGAGAGTTCCGGAAGCTGCTTAAACCCTTCGATCGTCATGAGTTTGACGTATCGCCGGCTGTCGTCAACGCCTTCTATTCCCCTGAGAAGAACGCCATAAGTTAGTGATGGAACTTCTCTAGACAAATTTTAAGGTGACGGGGATAGGAGGTGGGTGGAGAAGACATTCCTTTCCCAGAAGAAGGAGTAGGCGTGGCGACTGAACATGGCATAGGATGATTTACTAGTAGGATGTTCTAATTTGAGGCAGCTGTCCTCTTGTTCTGTATTGAACAAAGGCATGATCACAACTGCTCCAAAACGAAAATATCTCAAGAGACCCTCACTTGAGGACATGTTCACTTCAAGAACGCAGCCACGCCTACAGCGTCTCTAGGATTTTGAGTGTAGGTTGCTGCACATTATCACTGCGCCCTCTTATCAGCGCTCTTCTCTTTGCTGTAGTGGAAGGCGAGACGCACAAGTGAGGATCACGAATCTCCACCCCCTCTCCCCGTCTAGTTAACTCGAAATGTGACTTCAACCCACTCGCAAGTTCAGGATATAGCCATAGAGAGTGACCATCTTTCTTACACTAGTGTAGAATATAGTGTAGTCCAGCGGCTTTATATACTGTAAACATCGGATGAAAGCACTTCAAAAATTGTGAGCATTCAGCGTTTCCTGCTGGAATACTCCAACCACCATTCTTCAGCGGCTCGTTTCCCAAAGCAGTGAATTATGGTGCTATTGGGGCTGTTATCGGGCACGAGATTACGCATGGGTTTGATGATCAAGGTAACGTCCAATTTTCAGCCCAGGCGTAGTCGACATCACCTATAAAAGCAAAACATCCCAGGTTCCCAGTACGACAAGGACGGCAACTTGCATAACTGGTGGAGTAGTCGTTCTCTAGAGGCATTTGACGAACGGAGGCGATGTATTGTTGAGCAGTATGGTAACTATACCGTACCAAAGACCACATATAAAGTTAGTTATTCAAGTCAGTAATTGCGAGTTTGAGAGCCATGAACTCGATCGCTAAAATTTAAGGTGAACGGCAGACTGACACAAGGAGAAAACATCGCAGACAATGGTGGAGTTAAGGAAGCTTTGAGAGTAAGTTCTGGTCCAGAAAGCATCTTTATTCCGTTTCACGCTCGTAGTATGGGCGGAGCCGAGCCTGTCAGTGTGCCTTCCTTATTGGTTTGTACTTCCTCATAGAATGGTGAAAAGGAACTGCACGCCAAACAGGAAGACAGATTGCAGAGTTGACCACGACATAGCACGAATGGAGAATCTCTCTCAGGAGAGTAAATCTAAAATTTGGAATAATACTTGATTTGGCTTTTCAGGCTTATCAGAAGTACGTTGCTACCGAGGGTGAAGAGCCGCGCTTGCCAGGACTTCAACACTACACCAACACACAAATATTCTTTCTCAGCTACGCACACGTTAGTTCTTACCAGTTATACACTTTTAGAGCCACAAGTTTTCAAGCACTTCCTCATTACATAGCTCTTCAAGAGGGAAAGAGCCTAAAGCCTACGGTAATGGGGCTGATGAGTAAATGTTCCCACAAAATATCACGAATATCTAACCAATTTAGTATTACTTCAAATTCAAAATGTGATTCCATATTCAGCCAACGCCTTTGCCGTTTTTAGCAGCATTCGTGACAAGTTTAGCGATAGTGACGCATTTCGAGCTATCTAGTCACCTGTAAATACATAATCACGGCTAAATTTGTCACGAGCGCTGTCTGATGTTGGCTGACTTCATCCCACGGGAGATTAGAGACAGATCAGAACTTAGAAGAGAAACACGCGGCTCCATCACGCAGTAGTTTGGCGAAAAATTCCTTGACTTAATATGTGCAGTCACGATGCTTCTACTGTTATCACAGCCTCCGGGTACTTGGAGAAGAAGTCGACAACTGTCCGGTAATTGTATTCGTGTCCGGAGACACTATCCTCAAAACTCACCCCTCTATATCTACTCGATATGTCCGTAAACCGGGAAGTATTATATGGGCGCTCGAGGAGGCAGGGCCAAAAGCGCCGCTGGCCATTGGTCCATCCAAGGAGAGCACGCCACTTTTGCCGGGAACCACGTATCGACTGTCTAACACGTGAACGTCAAATCGATTACCTGAGCACATGACCTTAGGATTAATAGTAGCAAGGAGGGAATATATAAACATACAGTAGCTCAAACGGATTACAAAAGGACTTGATAATAACAAAACAAATACCAGCAGTGAAACAACATAATTACATAACAACATTATGACAAGCAGTGTTTTGATGACTTTTATAAAAGCAGTTTGCAACTTTTAGTTTTGGTGTGGTCAAAAGAAGGAGGCTGCAGCTATGCAGCAAGTGACGACGGACGAGCATTCTCCTGAAATATTTCGCGTGACAGGAGTTTTATCAAACTTACGCGAATTCGCCGAAGCATTCTCTTGTCCGGCTACAGCAGCACTTAACCCTCCAAATCGATGTGTTGTGTGGTGAACAATCTATGGAACGTTAAATATCTACATCTGTAGGTTCTGAGCTTTACAACACGAATGCAGGGATATGAGGAGTTTATGGTATGCTAGTCATAAATCATGTTTTTCTTACGTTTGAATATTCCCATTGTAATTTATTTTGAGAAATTTGGTGGTATTTTTATGGAGATACGTGTATCTCTCCGGTGCCTACAACTTCTGAAATCGTTGTTCAATCTCTATCCAAATTCCACATCCCTGAGACGAGGTTACTGCGTAGTTCATTTGTTGGGCATTCTAACTTTGTACAACTGTCATTTTCTATTGTGTTTCTCAAGACATGACTACAGTTTTAAATGAAAATATCTGACGAAAAGTGCAGCGGACGCCACTTCCGAAGAGCCACGCCCACCACATCTCAGGGATTTGGAGTATATGTACGCTTTAGCTATAAGTGTATGTGAAATGCATATGTTTTAAAGGTCTCATTATTGTCATGAGTGTGTGCAGTTACTAACGGTTACAAAATCCATAGAACATATCGAATTGAACTACTTTGAATGAAAACAGCTGTGAAAGCAGATAAATATATACATGCATTGTATTTTACTTTTGACATAAGCCTACAACCCTACTCAGATATCATTTATTATTTATTTATTCCTACAGTACACAGTGTCGATATCAGGGCGCCACGAATGGGCGCACCCAACCACGGACATATTCGATAAGGCAGTAGAGTGTTTCTGTTGATGGCGGAAAAGAGAACTAGACAGCGACTGTATGACAGCAGGGCCGAGCGCGAGCAATCCTTTTCGTATATGGTGACCCTTTCCAGGCGCTCTGATATGGAATGTGTACTGTAGGAATAAATAAATAATAAATGATATCTGAGTAGGGTTGTAGGCTTATGTCAAAAGTAAAAT